GGGGAGGAGGAGGAGGAGGAGGAGGAAAAGGAGATTTGTGCTTAGGCTCACCTAGGTGGTACTGTGTAGTACTCATGGGGTATTCCTATTCACTGTTATTTTAGAAGACATCTAGGTTTGCTACTCACAATTTTAATTAAAAAATTAAATCAGTAGTGAGAAATTTTGGAGAACTAGCCAGGTTCTAACACTAACCAGCTGACCCTACACTATGCCTAGATAGCTTTTTGGTTTTCACCTGTAAAATGAAGAGGAAATAGAGTCTCTTCTTTTAATCTCTTAAAAGCTCTTTCAGCTAATAACCTTAGATACCTTATTACATAAACTTTGAACTATGTGCTAAAGTTTTTGTTAGCGATTTGCTATGGACTGAATTGTGTCCCCACAATATTCATATGTTGAAACCCTAACCCCTAATGTGACTGTATTTGGAGATAGGGCCAATAATGAGATAATTAAGGTTAAATGAGGTCATAAGGATGGGGCTGTGATACAATAGGATTAGTGTCCTTTTAAGAGATATTAAGAGAGCTCATGTGGATGCTTGCTCTCCTTCTGAAGCTCAGAGGAAAGGCCATGCAAAGACTAAGCAGCCATCTACAAGCCAGGAAGAGCACTCTCAGAAGCAGAACCGTACTGGAACTTTTATCTCCGACTTCCTATCCTCCAGAACTGTGAGAAAATTAATTTCTGTTGTTTAAACCACCTTGTCTGTGCTATTTTGTTATGGCAGCTCGAACAGACTAATATAGGATTTAACCATAATTGAGTATATTTTTACAAATTGAATCAGTTGTTTATGTAGTCTGGAAATGAGATATATAGCTTGTTTGTGTTGAAATAGGACATGAAAGGTTTTAACCTGGTTGTGGAGGGAAGACTGCCATTTCTGTGTTTCTCTGAGGTTCTAGATACTGTGGAATTATGGTATTGAGTTGGATGTTATGAGTAATACAGTTGGATTTTTTGAACAAAGTTGGTGAGGAACCTGAGTTCAGTTGAAGAGCGACCATTATTTGATGACAGAAGAAAAGAACGAAGCTAGAGGACTTCTCTCTTTTCCTGTATCTACCTACAATATAAATAACTTTGTTGAATACCCCTGTTACAGTAATTAGTATATTGGTGGGGACTGACATTGTGTTGTTAATGTTACCGCCTACAGATCTCCTTCTAAAGAAGAGCAAATTGCCAGAGTAGGGGCTTGCTAATGTCTAAGCGTATTTTTAACCTGTATTTGCCTTGGTATGGCAGGGGAGATAGGAGTTATGGTTTAAAAATTAAGTAAATACACCTTTTTCATAGTTGTTCCCCTCTCCCACAAACATATTTCTAATCTTTCCTGGTCTGCAGCAATAGAATAGTCTCAGAAGGGGGGCATAGGAAGTGGCATGCAGCTTAGACTGGGGAGCATCCTGCTCAGATTTACATTGCTTTTCTGGACTTTTGCTGATTCCGTGCAACTACATTTCCCCTGAGAGCTACTATTGACCTGATAGTACTGGCTGCCAGTTGGCAGGGAAGATTTACCTAGATTAGGTGGTTATTTCCTGTTCCTGTCTACAGACTTGGAAAAATGGAGAGAGTTTACTTTCCTCCAAACATTTCTCAGAACATAGTGGCACAAACTGTTCAGAAGTGGGGAAATTCCTTAAAAAGCTATGTCTGGTTACCTTCAGATAAACATTTCCATTAATATTTCATTTCATTTTGAGCCCCTTTTTGGTTTGTAGTATTTCTTCAATATATATAGGTAGCCTCAAACCATACGGTAAAAGTATTTTCCAAAAACATTCACTTTTTGTCTTACTATGAACTGTTTTCCTTATTTCCTTGTCATTGAGTAATCAGCTCCTCTCAACAGGCTCAAATCCCTTTTTCTACTTTGATCTGTCTCCGGTTATGCTGATGTCTTATGTCCTTTTGTGAACTCATACATGTTTTAATAAGAACATTTAAGAATGAAGTTGCCTATTTCTTCCCTCTGTGTGTTGGGAAAAGAAAAACCTTTGTTGCTATGTTTAGATGATATGTATTGAGTGTTCCCATAATCATTGCCCTGTGTAAAGTAGTTATCGCACACAAGATACAATCTCTCATGCTCCGTGGTGTTTGTTCTGTTTCAGTCTACTTTAAAATGCTTAACTTCCTAAGTTCTTTTCCCCATTAAGTATTGCTTTTAGATATTTTGGGTTTTTTAAATTTCCATATACATGTTCTTTATAAAAGACATTGGATGGGCATTTGCAAATGAAAACTTAGAGTCCCAGATTTTGAAGGAATAGTTTTATTCTGTCTACTAAAAGTCTGATTTCTTCCATCTTCAGGCATCTGTCCTAAACACAGTGGGGTTGTCAAGTAGCAATCCCTCCCATCTTTGACACAGATACTTCCCTGCAATACCAACCCCCAAAGAGGATGTTTCCTGGGGCAGGTAAGGAACAGGGAGAGTACAGATGATTCTGTATCTGCTCTACCTCTTATGAGGGCTCTTGAGAACATATACTCAACAGTGCCTAAAATTCATAGAATGTTAAATCTGGAAGAGACAATAACAAGTTATCAAGACTGGCAGACTACTTCCTGGTCCCTGAAAGTGTTGTGTACTTTTACATCTTATTATGGAGTGCCTGGCAAAATGCAGCTTATCCTCTAGCACCCTACCCTCTGAGTGAATCATCCCTTCATCAGTCATAGCATAGCCTAACAAGAAACTGTGTATAATTTCTCCCACTATGTGTTTGAATGCCCTCCCACACATTTCATAGTGTAGTGTTTAATGGTGTTCTTTTTTTATTTACTCTACAAATTTTGAATGTTTGCTTGAATAGACAGGATTATAGTAAGAATGGCGTACATATCTATTTTAGTGGGATAAACAAGAGGCTTGAAGCTAAAGTACTTGTAAATGACTTCCATGTTTTTGATAGGAAATGAATTCACTCATACTTTTTCAGGTTTCCACTCAAGTCACTGAGGAAGAGAATATACAACTTAGTTCTGTGTTATTGAGAAACCATCAATGGTATTTTAAAGACATGTTATATATATATATATATATGTATATATATGTGTTACAGTATGATTCACTTTGTTCTGAATCTGCCAAGGGACCTGTCTTACACACAGCTCTTTTGTATAGACATTGCTATGGGCAAGGATTGACCTCTTACTGTCCATTTACTGGTTGCTGACGTTGACTCTACCAAATTAGAAGGTGAAAAATGAAGAGGTGAAATTCATCTTTAAAGATAACGTGTGTGAATTTTAGGATACTAGTATTTGTATGAGTAATAGAAGAATTGGTGAGAAAGTGATCCCATCTAATACTTATCTTCCTGATCAACTACTAGTCAGGAGCAATTAGAGAAAAATTTCAGCTGGAGCATTAGAATCCTGTCTCAAGTTATAAGATAGTATTTATGATGTAGAAAGCAAAACAAAAACAAAAAACCCTGGGATTTACCTTTTGCTTTTTATTTTAGGGCCTTTAGTGTCGGTCATCCGGCATGTGAATACTAACATTGACAAAACTTGGCCTTGTACTTAGTCATCTTTTTCAATGCCTCTGGGCATTTGGCTCTTGGAAGGAGGTAATTCCTTGTTCCCTGTTCCCTGGTTTGCATTATTTATTTGGGAACCTGTCTGCCATTGTGGTTACTTGTCAGAACACAGCATAATTTAAATGTTCAAGGTGGGTGATTGAAGTACTTGAGCTTTTTCCCCAACTGCTGATGACTGATTAGAGAGTACTTTAAATAAAGAATGTGTTCTCCAACTTAACAGCATATTATAAGAGATATATGACATACGGTATATCCCCCCCAAATTTTAATATTTAGAAAGCAGAAATGTATTATATTTTACCAATAATACTGTGAATACTCATATTAACAGGAACCATCCCCAACTGTAGGGTATTAATCTTTTTACAAAATGTCCTAAAATGTATAAATTAATTTATCTCATAAAATCTGACAAAGTTGCTTCTGTTTAGAAAGGAATTGCTTTTAAACGTAACCATTAATTGAGACTGTCAGTGCTTTGCTGCAGAATCCAAACATCTACTGTATTAAACTTCATTTAAAACTATATTACCCTTCTTAAAACAACAACAGTCAAAACAACTAAATTATTTTCTTGTTGCCATTTTATTACAATTGATATTTTGATGTTTGATGATTGTATTTATTGGCAATAATTTTATCTGAAAATTAAGATAAACTTTCTGGTTTCAGAGTATTACTTTGTTAATATTTGCTGTTGTCCTTCACCTCTCCAAACCCTACTCATTCTTTTAGGCCAAGCTGAAGATGAACAAACTCACTGAAATTTTCTCCTATCCCAGCAGCTTAATTTATGGCATTTTGGACATGGCTTATAGCACTTACTTCCTTTTGCCTTGTGTTAGTTAGCTGTAAACATGCCCTCCTCCTGTACTGGCTCCCAGAGAGCAAAGACTATGTTTTAGGCAACTGTGTATCTCCAGTAGCACCTTTCACAGTGCTTTGCACACCTCCCCCCCATACATTCAGTAAGTATTTATTAAATCTGTTTATTTTTTTCCCCTGATTTTCTAGACTAGACTTAGGAATCAATCAGTGACTTGAGGTTTAAATGAGGAATGAGGTAGTAATGGCTCTGTAGTCAAGATTGGCCAGGTTTGAGTTCCTACTTCATGATGTATTAACTGTGGGACTGCCTCATCTGTAAGATAGGAATGTTAGTAATAGTATCAGCCTCCTAGAGTTGTTGATGAGGATTAACATAGATAATCTGTTAAAACCACTTATTGGGCTTTCTGACATATAGAATACATTCAGTACAGCATAGCTATAATTGTTGCTAAATGCAGTCCTACTGGGCTAGATGCTAAGCCCCCGAGGGCCTGTCTTCTGGTCTTTATAGCTCAGGCACCTAACCTTGATATAGTAAATATTCAACAAATACTTCTTTTAATTGAATTGATTGATTTACCCTATTTTTATCTTCCATTACAGCCCACTGTTTGTAACATGGAAGATTGGTCGAGACAAAAGATTGCGTGGATGCATAGGTACTTTTTCTGCCATGAATTTGCATTCAGGACTCAGGGAGTACACACTTACCAGGTGAAGACCAATTTTTGTTACCTCTGCTTCTACATTTTAAAAAAAAAGAAAAAACTTACGAAACTTGAACCTGATACTTTAACTCCTTTTTCTTTCCTGAACTGTCAACGTTCTTGACTCCTTTCATGTCAGACTTTTTTCTTCTCTTTGACCATTTGCCTTGTCTCTGATAAAATGTTATTGATATATATTATCATAACATAAAATACTGTGATTACATGTATTCTGCCATAGATGTCTTAAAGTGTTTTTTTTTTTTCTTTCAGTGGCCATCTTATTTTGTATAACTTGAAAATCAATGACCAAATATCTATGGGTTACTTAAATGTATTATTTCCATCATAATAGTCATTGTGTCTTCTTTGTTAGGCTTTAAAAAAATTGTTGATGTCTATTCCATCTCACACGTTTTGTTACACTTTTATGTACTTTTGGAATTGAAGGGAGAACCTAAGAAGAAAGTGATGCAACAGCCTGGCAGCATAATCATTCACATTCACACTTTACCCAGAATTAATTGCAGCTTACTTATTTTGTTTCATCCAACACAAGGACAAAGTAATGAATGCCTCATTACAGTTGTTAAGACTTTGTTCTTAATTTCTGAACTCACAAAAAGCTATCTAGCATGCCATCAGATTTTTTTGGTTCAAGCTTAGATTTCTAGCAAATTGTGTTCCAAAATTATTTCAAAAGAGGAAAATTCCTTAAATAATAAGCTATTAGCAAAGGAATTTCCTGTTTTTGTTCATATTTCAGGGTGATTATCTGATACAGTTTCTATAGTTGTAATATGCACAGTGTCTGTCCAACAAGAAATTGGTCCCTGCTGACTATTGGTACTTGTGGCAAGTTGCTCAATCTCCAATAGATAAAGTAGTAATTATAGTACTTTGTTCTACATACTTAATAGGAGTATTAGGGAGATGTCAGGGGAATGAAGTAATAATCAGTCACTACTTTGCTTCAGGATTAATGTTGTGGAAGATTCATTATTTTACTATAGAATTGCACAAATGCTGCTCATGGCACCAGTTAATAAAATGCTGGCAACTGAGTTTAGTATTCTTATATTTGAAGGTGTAGCTCACAGCTACAGGATTTTCTTAGCTTACGCTGAAGCCCAGAAAGAAAAGGAAAGGCTTGGAGGGTCATGTTCATTCTTAGATTTTCACAGGTATTTATTAGAAATGGGGTTTTTGGACTTGATTAAATAATAATTAGGCAGAAAGGGGGTTGAAACACACATTCTGGAAATAACTACAACTTACTAAAGATAGTACAGTTATAAGTCTAGGCATGTTAGATTTTTTTTTTTCCCTGACACAAAATACCATGGACTCATTTTGGGACTTTAGCGAATTCTGCCAGGACAGGTGCATATGAAATTACATTTGAAATAGCTAATCAAAGGCAATTTATTATATATTTCCTAAAATAAGTTGTTATGAGGAATACCAGTTCCTTGGTATTGCTTGATAAAAGAGTTCTATGGCCAAATAAATTTTGGGAACACGAGTTAAACAAATTTAAACAGCTCTGCTCACTGCAGGGTTTCTCAGAACCTTTTATGTTAATAGTGTGGTGAATCTCTGAGGGATACAGAATGCAGCATTTCCCAGACTTTTTTGACTACAGAACCCTTTTATCCTCCCACCCTCGTGTCTTATGCCATTAGTGCTCCAAGGAACACATTTTCAGAAACAGAAGTATGTTATAAAATTACCATTTTTCCTTATAGTTGGGGAGCCTGAATTGATAGTATAGAAAACCTTTGTACTTTCAAGTGAAATTGTGGCAGAAATCCCGGTATCAAATATTATATACTTTAGAAATCCTTAGTGGTAGTAACTATAGTAGCAATTTGTTTTTACTTAAAATATGAAATTCTTTTGCCTACATTGATAAAAAGGGATGAAAATATCCAATTTTTCTGGACTTGTGAATCTGTCTCCTAGGGCAATTACCAGAAGAATTATAGTATATTTTTTCTGACAATAATATGATTCTGAATGAATCATTCAAATAGTTGGACTTAGAAATTTGCCTACATTTGTATTTGTATTTGTACATATACAGGTGTAGTCTATGGCTCTTCCTGTTTACTTTTCAGCTTTTTTCCCCATGTTTCTCTACAATTTCCTGAAATTGTATACAGCACATTAGAGAGATATGTGTGTTTGTGTGTGTATATACACATATATGTACCTGGTCTTATCATTTTTGTTTGGCTTCATTTCTTTTGCTTAATATGATAATAAGAATGAAGTTATTTGGAAGAGACGAACAAACAAAACAAGTCTTAAAATATACAGTTGCTCTTTTTTCTGGATTCATTTTAGAGTCAAAACTGTGGCATCATTTTAAAAAGTTGCAGTATAATGTTTTTCAGTCCCATAGGGCACTTATCATTTCTACATGCTGTTGTTATTAGTGGTATTAATAGCTATCATTTACTAAGAAGTTACTACATGTCAGACACTGCAGAGGAGCCTTTATATGCATGGTCCTCACGACAACTCTTAGGTATTAATATCCACATTTTAAAAATGAGGAAACTGAGATTTAGATTTAACTAATTTAACTAATACACCCACTCACACATCTAGTAAGTGGTAGAAACAGGATTCAGACCCAGGCCATCTGACTGCAAAGTCCAAGCTCTTAACTACTACATTTAAGATAAGATAAAATAAAATTTTCTGAGAATATATGTTTTGTAGCTTCATGGTGAAAATAATGAACTTGAAAGCAGGTTCCTATAAATTGTTTAATCATGGGTCAATAATTCTTCAAAAATTCTAGTTAGCAGTTAAGACTGAAATTTTAGAACATTATTTTAAATTCCAGAAAACCCATAGATGGGATCATAAAAAGTATATAACTCAGGGTTGCATAGACTAGTCAGAAGAAAATTGACTTGGATTAATACTGTAGAAAAGGATAATGCTTATTACAAAAATGTACTACTCTATGGTATGAAATTGTGTCCTTTGGCTACATGTAAATAATGGATTAGACTTCAAGAGGAATACAATTCTTCTGAACATAATAGTTGGTGATTCTTGGAGTCTGGTCTTAAAACCTATAAATCATAAAACTTATAAATGGAATCAAATGAACTTAGGGTATTTGGGATAAAAGGGAAGGAGAGAGCAAAACAAAAAATAAACAGTGAAATTAAAGACTCATCAGGTATAGGTGTCTTTTTAAAAAAAATTAGGATATCTGGTTACTCACTGTCTTCATCTGTGACTAGATAATTATTCAGTTTTCATAATGTTACCCAGCTATACTCTTTATTTTTTATTGTAAAATATGCATACCATAACATTTACCACTTTAACCAATTTTAAGTGTATAATTCTGTGGCCCTAAGTACATTCACATTGATGTGCAACCATCCACCATAAATACCCAGAACTTTTTCATCTTCCCCAACCGAAACTCTGTACCCACTGAACACCAACTCCCCATTTCCCCTACCCCCAGCCCCTGACAGCCATCATTCTACTTTGTCTCTATGAATTTAACTCTTCTAGGTACTTCACAAAAGTGGGATCATACAGTACTTGTCCTTTTGTGACTGGCTCATTTTCATTTGGCATAATGTCTTCAAGGTGCATCCATGTTGTAGCATGTGTTAGAATATCCTTCCTTTTTAAGGCTGAATAATATTCTACTGTATGTATCTACCACACTTTGTTTGTCCATTCATCCATGCATGGAAACTTGGGTGGCTTCTACTTTTTGACTATTGCACATAATGCTGCTATGAACATGGGCACGCAAAAATCCGTATGAGTACCCTTTCTTTTTTAAAAAGCTAACCATTTTATAGAGGATAATGATCTAGTTTGTTTGTGGTCCCTTAATCTCTAAAACCTAAATGTAAAAAATGACCAGGTACTTTTTAAATGAAATGCCTATCCTGGATTAAGTTTTTATGTATAAATATACTGTTTTAAAATTAAAATACTTGTCATAGTCAAGTTTTATGTTCTCCTAATTGAAATTTTGATTTATTGTAGACTGGAATAAGACCTTATAAGTAGGCTGAGGATTTCTCCCAATTGTAAAAATACATAGTTTCTGTGTAGGTAGCAGGAAGACTTTGTGAGAGTTACCACATCGAACTGTTAAGTAGACTATTATTTCCTTGACCTGAGTAAAAGCAGGAAAGGTTAGAGCAAATAAGAAGCAGGATGGAGAGCTCAGAATTACTGATAGAAGTTTATCCATGGTGAAATTAAAGGTCACAGATTAGTGTATTTATTAGTGGTCAAAACTTCAAGGTAGAAATATTCTTTGTCCCACTTGAAAAAGAATAATGTCTAGTACTCATCAAGCTAGTTGCATTAGTGGCTTTTACATGTTAGAAAGCAAAGACAAATTTGTTTCCTCTCTTTTAGTACTTAGATTATATAGTTTTATAAAGAGTAGAATTACAATTAATGTAGATGAACACAAACATCTCAGTCAAAGAAAATTCCTTAAAATCTTGGTTAATAATTTTCCAGTGAAGTGTAGGTCTATTTCTTTTTTTTTTTTTAATATCTTTATTGGAGTATAATTGCTTTACAATGGTGTGTTAGTTTCTGCTTTATAACAAAGTGAATCAGTTATATATATACATATGTTCCCATATCTCTTCCTTCTTGCGTCTCCCTCCCTCCCACCCTCCCTATCCCACCCCTCTAGGTGGTCACAAAGCACCGAGCTGATCTCCCTGTGCTATGCGGCTGCTTCCCACTAGCTATCTGTTTTACGTTTGGTAGTGTATATATGTCCATGCCACTCTCTCATTTTGTCACAGCTTACCCTTCCCCCTCCCCATATCCTCAAGTCCATTCTCTAGTAGGTCTGTGTCTTTATTCCCGTCTTACCCCTAGGTTCTTCATGACTGGTCACAAAGCACCGAGCTGATCTCCCTGTGCTATGCCCCACTAGCCCACTAGCTATCTATTTTACGTTTGGTAGTGTATATATGTCCATGCCAC